TCCGTCGTCGTCCGTCGTCGTACGTCTACAGTACACACACACACACACACACACACACACACACACACACACACACACACACACACACACACACACACACACACACACACACAATTTATTTATACATAAGCAAGCAACATAAACAAAATGGTTAATGTCTCTCAGGCACATTACTCATCCTTTATGTTGCTGCAAACACTTTAACTTTATATTAATGTCCTCCTCCTCAAGTAATGGTTCTTATTGAGGTTGCCATAGAGACGGATAGGGGAGAACACAGACCAACCCAGCTTAGTCTGCTTCATTAGCATGATGTCTGTCCTCCAGTACAAAGTTAGGAAGAGATTGGTGTGTTTGTGGTGAATAATCCACAACCTCCAACAAACTCCTGCCAGAACCACCACAGCTCGCAGGCAGACTGCAGGCAACTGAGACTGTAATTAATGACAAACTGTGATTCTCTGTCAGCACAGAGAATATTCATTTTCACACTGATGCCTCGTCACAGTTTATTAACATCACTCAAAAACAGATTGCAAAAAGTCAGATTGTATAGAAGTTGATGAGTAAATGAGTTTAACTCCGACCTGTGGAACTTTGCTGTCATTCCCTCTTTCTCCCCATTTCCAATCAATCTGTATTTTATCTATAAGAACGGCCTCCATTTTTCAAAACAACAGTTTTTTCCCCCCCCCTCTCTTTTCCACAGCTGATTCATTGTTTTAGAGAAGGGGTGCCCAATACGTCGATCGCAAAGGTAGTGTGGGTAGATCGCATGGAATTGTAAAAAAAAATTGCATTTTCCACTTGATTGACGTACAGGTAAGCCAGTCTGAGATCTCATCTTTTCTAACACGCAGTTCACCACGCATGTATTGCAAATCACCGACGAGATAATTACCTAGTTAGCCAATTTATTCAATTCTACTAAAGAAATGGTATCAAATGTATTGTGCCATACGGGTTCATGCAGTTATGAGGGGGCCTCACCTCCTCATCTGAAGAGCAAATGCGCGCCCCCCTCCCCCCGCTCGCGACACAGATTGGGCAGGGGCGGCCCTAGATCATTTGGGCTTGGTCATTTTTAAATTAGCTGAAAAAGTGTGGGCACCCCTGTTTTAGAGTATGCAAATGCATTACATCAATGCTCATGTGGGGGGTAGAGATGGATTATCCTGCCCTATTCTTCCTTTAATTTTGCCACCCATCCCTCCTATATTAAGCGTGATGCTTGTCAGGCAGTGAGGCGTGTTAAAACTGCAGGGTGGAGCTACAGATTGATCTGACTGAAAGGGAATTGCTGGACACAAAAAAAAGGAGGGGGTGTGCTTCGGCCATCTGTCAGGGTCCACTCATCTCCTGGCTTTGAGTGGTTTCTCATGGTTTGAGACGATGTAACAGAGTCAGGACGTGGAATGGAGCAGTGTAGAGGCAGGCAGCAGCTTGGCTAATGATGGCCGAACACAGTGAGAGCAGACAGCTGCGCTGACCAGCTCTACTCAGCGCACGAGCTCGCTGGCAGTCAGTCGCATTTCAAGGGCGCCGGCCACTCAGCTGAGCGCTGAAGCCCTGCTCACACTCAAGTCATCTCGTTAAACTATAATAAAAGGAAAATCTCATTTGCCAGCTTGGCTCAGCACAGCTACAGTTGCCTCTCCAATTTCTAATGTTCCTCTTTAAATGAGTGTGAGTGCATGTGTGCAGGATTAAGGGATAGAGCAGAGGGATGAAACATAGGGATGGGGACGGAGAGCCATGCCAAGCATTAGACACAATTAAAATGGTGGCTGGGGGTCGGTTTTCATTATTTATGGATATAAGCCACTAAGCTCAGACTTTACGTCACCTCTGATCCCCCCATCCTGATTGAGTGAAGGATTAGGCTGGGGGGCAGGTTGGATCCCTGCCTCCTCCTCTAACCCTGCCAGCATGGCAGACTCTTCCCTCCTCCCTTTACTATCACCCCACCAATCCAACCATGCCCTTCTCCAGAGATAAGACCAGGATAAATAGTCTGTCATGAGTGATGGCCTCACCGTGGAAGCCAATTAGACGGTCTCAGCAATTAAAGCAGTCTGTTCATTTAGCTACCCGAGGCCCAGCAGCATCTCCCAGTCAGGGTACACTCAGTGCTCTGCTGCCACTGGGAACATTGCTCTTTTATGTATATTAGATGTGCTGCAGGTTACATACATTATAGGAGCTCTCAAGCAGCGTCCTCCCGGCCTGGAAAGTGAAGCAAATGAAGTTAGTTATAGTTGCATTCTTTCTAATGGCCAGCAGGAGGTGACTCAACGAAGTCTGGTTATAAAAAAGACAATGA